TACAGCCCGTACCTGTTGTGGCACAAGCCTTCTTCCATGAAATGGCAAAGCCATCAACTGTACGACATAGCGTACGGTGATGTCTGCTTTTCGCGCGCGTTCCTCAACATTCCCTCATCTGGTCCTTTTGCTTTAACTTCTCGTATTCCTCCAGCGCCCCTGATGATCTGAACCGCATCCTGGGGAGTCGCTAGCCACTCGAACGATTGGCCTCCGCACTGCTAAATTTAACCACAGATCGTTGAGGCTTGTTTCTGCCCAGCGTAGGTGCTCCTCAGAGAGGACCCCCACGCCGAAGTTTTTTCGGTTTGATATCAGGCGTCTTTCACATGTTCCCTCCTGTCAGCCTTTCTGCAACTTTTCTTGAGGTTGACCACTGCCAAGGTCGGGACCTGGCCGGCAGCGTGGAGTCTCAATACTCAGCCTCAGGGGCATGCAAGACCTGGTCAAAGTTTGTGGCTTGTCGTTGTCTCACCGCTGCCGGTATTCTTAATCCATATGCGTTGCGACTGGTATCGTGTCCTTTTCAGCGATGCCGAGCTCTCTCGGCAATTCGAATGGCGGCATGAAAACCTTTCCCATTCATATCTCGCCTTTCTTTTCCTCTTAGGGATTGAGGCTCAGCAGTCCCATATTCAGCTCTCGTCGACAAGCTATGGGATTTTCATTTTCATTCCCTGTTCCCCCTTTGTTTTCTCACTCATCAATCAAGTGATCACAGTTATGTGCAGATGAGACATGGAGAAAATGCAATCGCATAATGCTTTGGAGAAGCAAGTACCATCCGAAATGACAACAGAACTCTGGGCCGATATCTGTGTCCTTGGCCGAATAGGCTTCCATCCCCCACCCCCAACTTAAAGTGTGATTGTTGTGCCAACTCGCGGTCCTTAATTCGTGAAGATCTGATGGCAGACTTTGCCAGTGAGGTCGAGATGTAGGCCTAATCGAAATACCTTATTAGGCAATCTCGTCTGGGTTGAGAAGCCACATGCTCGTGTTTCCGCATCATTGGTGACAGGTTTCTAAAAATGACTTGAACGCGACTTCAGAACCTAGAACCTAGAGAGCAGGGGAGCATCTGACGTGGATTTCCATTTAATCATAGGAGCCAACAAAGATCCCAATTATCTCTTGAAGAGAACTAAAGGTATTCAGCCGCAATGTGGTCAAACTCTTCACTGGAAAGACAGCGCCCTTTGAGATTTCCCACTGAAATAGGTACTTGGCATTCTGATGTCCTTCCATTCCTAGATGCAAGTCTGTCCCAAGGGGAATGACCAGACAGTTTTTCCATGCGTCATTTTGTGTACACTGGGGGTATAATGTCAACTCATATTGTTGCTGCCATTCACCGTCAGCTGCGCAAATAATGAAACATGCAGAAATGCCCTCACATCTCTGAAGAAATGCCAACCCCCGCTGGGTGTCTATCCATACCCACCATAGCTCCAACAAGGCACACTAGCTTCCTCGGCCTTTCTCTTTTGTTCCCGGATGCCTAAGAGTCAACAGGGCAGCCCAGTCCCAAGTGATTTTAAATCCATCCGATGGAGCTGGTGCACAGTAGCCAAGGATAGCACATCTAACTGAAATCGTGGGTGACGGAGAATACTTCGAGGAAAAGCACCCATTAGGATCGTTTGTATCTCTTAAGTACAGCCGTTAGAGGCATTGTTGGTGATGGACGCTTTGTCGCCAGCCAGCCATTCTACATCTGGGTAGAGCTGAAGGAGGAGAGATGGAGCTCTGGAACTTGGGGGTTAGTCATGATGTTTTGTTAGGGATCACCCGGTTTAATATTAGCGTTTTCCCTCAACTCGGAGGTGTAAGACAGTAGCCCAGGAGGAAATTTTCATGATAGCCTCTCTGAGATTCAAAAGCAAACGATTTAAAACTTATCACTCTATCTTTAAATGTTTGAAGAATTAGCTAATATATAGAAAATATAGTAACATTCTAATCTGTATCTAGTAAAATATTAGAAAGGCGAGCAAAGTAGACGCAATAGGGTTTAGAAAGAACAATCAGTATACTCAGCGTCATCATGAACCTGACAATCCACAAGCAACTTAACCCTCGCGTTCATCAATGGATACAAAACATTGAAATATTTGTCTAACAACATCTGCATACCATCAAAACGACATTGGACGTTGCCACGATTGGATCACACAATTTTCCCATCAGATACATTCGCTGGTGGATAGTACGCATGGCCTGAAGTGTCTGAGATAGCTCAGGGATGAGGGAGAGAGGTACAGATTACATTAACCAAAACACCCATTAACGCTCCAACTAAGGGAATATTGATATGAGGATATCATTTTCGATTTGGCCAACTAGTCGTCCACATCAGAGTAAGTATTTCGAGAAAGGATTACTCACAAAATATGATGGGGATTTTGAGTTCCCTCTGGCCAGCTGTATGTGCCAACTAGATTCCAACCTTGTAGAGATCAACTGTTAATATGGACAATTCAATTTCTCATCTACTCGTCTGGAATATTTGCCCCCTCATTAGCATCGCTGAACGAAAAGAAAAAAAAAAAAAAAAAAAAAAAAAGCGATCATGAAAGACATCAACTCACAGACGATGTGCCTCGTTGTAATCCAGCCCAACGTTTGATATACAACATTGACTTAACGCAAGCAACGTCGAAGGACTTGAATACGACAATCCCATCAGCGGATCCAACCGTCACCTGCTCCATTGAGGGAAAGGATACTCCCAACATGACCCTGCGCAAGATTTGTGATCACCTGCACACCCTTGGCTGCTGCGGTTTAAATAGTGACATCTTGGTTGAAACAAGCGGTTCGGACAGTGCATCCTCGCAAATGCACTGAGCGGGCGCGTTGAGGAAATCAAGTATAGAGTTTGTGTTGCACACGATTTTCATCTTTATTGGTCTTGATGAGAAGTCAGTGAACATATTTGAAGTATTTATATCGAGAGAGACAAAGAGAGACCTGCGGTACTATATTTTCTTCAAAAGCGCCAAAGCGGTTAGAACATAGGAGTATTCGAGATTCTGTGATTACAAAATGTGATTCAACAACAAACAAGCCACTGCCGCGGTCTTGTGTCCTTGGTGAGGTGAAACAACCCCAACTCACCCTGCTCATAAATCTTTGGTGGAACAAACCCTGGTTCGGATCCATCTAAGGTGGTTAAAGATAACATTATCCGGCAGCCTAGCTTCACATTGAGCCACGCTTCCGTTTCGGCGCGAGAAGGAGCAGCGATCGCAGCGGATCAATCTCCAACCAGAGGAGTCTAGTCATGAATTGACTAGCATATCCGAATTGAGATCATATTTAGCTCATAAGCATATCTAAAAGCCTCATCCATCAATCACTGGCACAAAATCAACAGATGATGGTATGGATTAGCATGAAAACTAAAAAGAAGGACTAACCTCAAAAGCTATCCTAGGCCTAATATTCCCAAATTTTGGTGGTGGAGTAAGAGATATGGCAGAAATATTTCAAGACACGAAGCTCTACCTGAAAGTTTGACAGGCCTTTGATAGTCGAAACCCGCCAGGAAAAGTTGATCATTCAGGGCAAGACAGCAATCACCGCTAGCAAATGTTGAAATGGGAGCTATTCCTAAACTTTGGAATAAGCTGGAGAGTATGAGGTGGAACTATTCTGTCTAAGAAGCCCTTTTCTTGTCACAGCACAGACAAGTAACCAGGTAACGGAATTCATTGCAGCTGTGAGTTGTCAATCCGTGGGATTAGGATGTCGAATTGGCAGATCCATCCTTTGTATATTATAAAGAATCACAAAATATGCTCGAGATGGTCAATGATCTTGGTCTAGTCATTGTTGACATTGACCTGACGAGGTAATGGACATGAATGAGGCTGAGATATTGCAAAGGTCTCTCTTACAGCTGGTGGTCTTGGCGTTTGACTACAGTCCATCGGACCACCCTGCCAAGCATATAGAAATGTATATCCGAGCAACACCCTTGGGGATTCTATTGGATTTGCTATCATAACAATTTTATCGGATGAAAATTTGGGCGATGATGATAACCATCAATCCACCAGTGGCCTAATATTATGAATCCCGTTGCAGGTATTTTCATTGTCTAGCTAATGAAATTAGCGATTCATGTAGGTTCGAGGATTTGTGGGATTTGAGGACGGGAAAGCACAATGTTGTTTCAATTCCAGCGACGGAAGATATCAACAAGGGCCGCATACATTTCACTCCCCATATATAAGTTATGGGCTCAGCTGATGGCAAATTCACATGCTTTTAAATAGAGAACATAGCTTTTGGGTCTAGAGCCGCATTTCATCATCCATGATTCGAGCTTGCTGGCGGACAGAAGGAGTCGCTGAACGGCGCTTAGCAACAAAAGGTGGGCTACTTCAGGCAGCCTGCTGGAGGCTTCTGTATAAATTTGAATGTACGGATTTATTTAACGGGATAATACTTGCGCGCCAGCGGAATGAAAAACCACCAGTTCTCGGAGTCAAACAGCACGGAGGTCATGCCGAAGACTTGGGCATGGTCGTAGCACGGTCCACTGCGAGGAGGCGCACACACAAGTAGCACACAGCAGCAGGCTCTGGTTTGGGAGACAATTTAAGAGGGAACCTTCGGGTTTGGTGGCATTGAGGGGGGACCCTTAGCTTGTGCGCTGTAAGCAGAAGTTCTCTCACCGGCTTCGGCGGAGGCGGGGGAACAAATTTCCCGAGGTCACTATGACGCAACCGGTTGTCCACCCCACTTAGTAAGGAACGTCAACATTGGAACTATCAAAACATCGACATCTAATACCACCGAACACAGGCAAACGCGAAAACCCCTTTTTATTTTTGCGCTTTACCAGTTACTTATTCACCTTTTTCATGAGGCCACAGCCATTCCTGACTCTCTTCCGGATTCCTTTACCCAGAGCTCAACCACGATTACCCAAGTCCAATTCATCTTACACTCCACTAAGTGGAGCTCGATTTTACCATTGCGCCGCCGATATGTCGCAATATAGCAAGGCCTGCTGCTCGAAGTAAGTCGATAACACGTATCCGTTGGATTTGCGTATATAAGTTGGCTGACTACGTTGGTGATCTATAGCATTCCTCCCGTTGTCTCGAAAGGGTATGAGGAGAAGGGCAAGTATATCACCTTGAATGGCATGAAAACATGTAAGTGTCTTGTTTTGCGAGAACCTATATCTTCCTGTGGACCAGCCTGAGTCCCCCACTCTCATTCAATCTTCATATTGATAGTGTGGTCACAGATGTCACTGGCCCAGAAGATGCCACAGAGGCCATCTGTGTTATTTTCGGTAATTAAAACCCCGGCATGAACCGCAATCCCACCCTTCCCCCAAATTAACGGCCTCGAACTCCCTAGATATCTTCGGCTTCTTCCCACAAACTATCCAGGGCGCCGATATATTGGCTACCTCTGACCCGAACCGCAAGTACCGCATTTTCATGGCTGATTTCTTCGACGGCAGCCCAGCAGATATATCTTGGTATCCACCCACCACAGAAGAACACAAGAAGAACTTGGCCAATTTCTTCAAAACTAAAGCCGCCGTACCAGGGACACTCTCAAGAATCCCAGGCGTTATCGAAGAAGCCAACAAACTTGCCAAGGGAGGGAAATTCAAAGCATGGGCTATCCTTGGATACTGTTGGGGTGGGAAGATTGTCACTCTGGCTTCGACGCAAGGTACACTTTTTAAAGTGGCTGTCCAATGCCACCCCGCTATGCTTGACGCAAAAGATGCTCCCAATGTCACTATCCCAATGGCACTGTTGGCATCCATGGACGAGGACGTCAACGAGGTCAAGGCCTTTGAGGATAACTTGAAGGTTTCCAAGTATGTCAAGACGTGGGATAAGCAAATCCACGGCTGGATGGCGGCGAGAGGGGATTTGGAGAACCAAGAGGTTCGCAAGGAGTATGAAAACGGATATAAGACGGTGCTGGGCTTCCTTAATGAGCATATGTAGGTTACCTGGTTTTGAACAATAGCTGAATTTTTTAGACAATATTTGTTTCTTTCACCCTGAAAAGCGGGAGGAATGCCAATAATATCACCCCCATAATTCGAACGCAAAAAAATTGGGGTGGGGACGGGAGAAAGAATAATATTGAATGAAAAAGCTATTGGAAAAGTGATATAACAGCTAATTCAAAACGTCATTTTTTTGGTCCACAGAACCAACTCGACATCTAAGATCTAAAAATATTAACCCTAACCCTAAATTCCTTTTTCTACCTGGTTTTCGATATCTAGATTCCGGTTAGAGGGTATAACAAAGTAACGAAATGGAAATGTAAGGAGAAACCAGTTCTGCGTATGTTAAAAGAAATGGATTTTCCCGTCGTATTGAAATTTTGACTTCCAGCACCTGTTTTTATATTTTAATTTGGTTCTTTTGCTTCTTCTGTTCCACTTACTCGATTTTCGCTTTTTGCTCCCCAGATTTACTTTCTCCCTATTCTATTGTTGTGAGATTTTGCTTCATTTTTGATTCTTAAGTGGAATAGCTATGATTCGGCGGATTTTTGTCGAAAGGTCCGAAAACCCCTGTTAAAACGTAATGTAATGGTCATAACTTCTCATTTTTCGGACAACGTTTGTATGTTATTCTGCCCTCCTCTTCGGAGCTAAGAGGACAATTGAATACGAGTGGATGACCTCAATTTCGAGCTTCCTGAGCTGCAGAAAACAGAAATAAGTTAAATTGGAAAACTGGACTTGCGATCCTGTTAAAGTTGCAGGACTGTGACTGATGGATATGTACTGTACCCAGCTACTGCAGATAAGCTAGACATATCTATCCTCTCCTCCCAACAAGAAAAAATAAATAGAGAAAAAAAAAAAAACAAAGTAGTTGAACAGAGCAAATGGCAAGGGTACTGATGACTGCAAATCAATATCGTCCTAAGCTTTCCCACAGGGTTTTAGCTGTTGCTCGGGGTCGATGTTGTCACTCATTTCAATCCCGGCAGACATCTAAATGGCTATCTCGTAGCTTGGAAAATTAAAAGGAGGACTCTGGCTTGAACTTCGGCGACAGATAAGATCTACCCATCAATCAGCCAAGAAATACAACAAGGACATTAAATGCATTTCCCCACTGTAGGGCCTCCAAGAGCACAGGTACTCTGATTGCGCAGGGGTTTTCTGTGAAAAGTACCTCAGATAGTCAATACCTGGACAATTCACAATTCAAATCAAACCCCTCAGAAATCATGCTCAATGATTTTTAAATTGTCTGCTCCCCCTGTCCTGTGCGGCCAGTAGGCGTTTTCCATGCTCAAGTAACATATCACTGGCTTGCTTGAACAAGCCAGTTACATGGCCTTGTTAGCCAACCCAACAGCCGGTTACTCCCTCAGGGCAGGGTTCAACGTTTTTCTACCGGGGGTGGAGGTCTCTTGCATGAGGCCGAGTCTGCTTTCTTCTTGCTTGCTCCGCGTCTCGCAAAACTTGGAAGGCTGCATGGTGCATGTTGTACGTTGCCCTGTATGGCTAGTTCAGGATTATCGAATGATGTATCGCCATATCCTTTCTGCTGAGGGTAAAATGTAGTCAGGATAGAAAATCCATGGAGCGTTCGATTGGGCCACGGGCAAAATGTAGGCTTTCAAATTGAACTGGGATGGTACCACAATAGAATTAAAAGACCAGAGCACACTTAGGGGTAAGAGTGAAATGTGTATTTTGCGATGAGAAATCATGAGATATACCACGGCCGCTCTTGTGAAAAGTTTCAACATGATAATGTACGCTATTGAGCGAGTTATCCCGAGTCGTCCATCCTAGGTCACCAAACTATGGTGATTCTTCTCCAAAAGATACTTCCATCTTGCTTTAGCCCACTAGAAACATCGAGGCATTGTTCTGCAAAGGTACCAGTCAAGCCTTGTTACCAAAAGGAATGTCCTGGTAATTGGTGTATTCTTTGGTCTGATGCATTTTATTTGGGATAGGCATTTGCGTCGTTGATAGTGAATTATACACTACTTATGGGTAAATTGACATGAGATTTTCTAGAGTTGGTTGCTTGCTAGTTAATGTGATATCATGGTAAGTGTGCAGATGGATAGAATGGTATGAAAATATAGGTGCAGTCAGCGGGAGGCCTTTGTTTTGATTATAACATAATTCCCAAATGACGCTCTGGCCTTTCCATTTGCATGCCGTAGGTCGATAAATGTTGAACGATACGGATTCATCCGTTTCGCCATGGTCATTGGAAGCAAAACCCCAGTCCATTGTTATGCAGACATATGCTGAGGTTCTGCCAAAGGCACAAATAATTGTCTCGATTTCTCAACTGGGTGCAGATAGCTAGGGGCGGAATGCTGCGGTTGGCATGTATGTGTATCTTTCGGATTCTATAAATGTCGGGATTGACGTTAGCGACGGTTCGCCGGAGATTTAACAACTTTCCCGATATGTATATCTACTGTACCTTCTGCAAGGAATTCTAGAAAGCAGCTCTCGTTGGCGCACGACTGCGCTGGTTCGGAATGTGCCGTCGTCCATGATATTGTCGGATGCTGGCAAAAATACCCGGCTCCCTAATATTTTCTTCTGTGAAATGTATAAATATTTTTGTTTTTCATTCCAGCTTTGGCCAATGTTAGTTATCCTTGATTGGCGCCAAAGGTATGTTTTAAAAACAGAGTTCGGGATATGCTCGGTCTCCTTTCTTTCACGAGTACGGAGTACGGAGTATGTTGGATAACAATTGAACAATTATAATATGATTTCTGTTCACAAAAATGAAGCAGGAACAGAACACAAAGCGCCAGATTCAGGAGCTCCATCACTGAGGCTGGAGCTGCTTTCGTTTGCTTTTAGCGCGGTTTTGGCTTTCTTTGGCTTACGTTGCCAGCAGGGTGGATACAGTGCCCCATGCCTCAAACTGGTGGAGAAGGACATTGCATGCGACTAAAGCAAGGCTCTGATCCTTAATTAAACCTTCAACATCCATGGATGGTGTGCGGAGGTTGGCATGGCGGTCAAGCCCCTGCCCAACGACCTTTTTTGGTTGCTGTTCGGCCATAGCCACATAACAATAGACTGGTCGTAACCTGTTGTCTTTCGGAATTTCTCCTGTTGGAGCAGACACAGGATGATAGGAAGTCATTAAACTATATATTCTGTAGAGTAGAATGGAATTCTCGTCCAGCCCATGAAAACATAAACTTTCATGTCAGGAATCGAGCCGTTGGTGAATCCGCGCTACTAAATAATGCGTTGGATTGAAAAGAAAAAGCAATGAGCTGGGTCAAAATACCTCGTCATGAACGTATTTTGGAATTTTTCCAATCGGGGTTTTCCTTTGACGTGAATACCAAAGAACGGTTAGCTGGACTTGGGACTGTTGGCTTCGTCCACCCCTTTCTTCACATCACCCTCAGGTGGAGGGTACTCTGTAAAGTGTATCTCTTTGCTGTGCATTTTTCCTCTCCAGACTGGAGTGAGTATCGCGCCTAATTGGCCAATTTTCCTAAAGTTTTGGGGCGTGCGAATTCCCCAACTTGGGGGTTGGAGTTTGTGGCTTGACGCTAAAGTTCTACCAGGGACTCTAGGATATGATGGAATGTTGCCAACTTGCTGTGAATGTGAGCAGTATATCCTCAAATGAAGTTAATCCCTGGTCGACACCATTCCGCGATCCATTGGCCGTGGGCTGAAGCCATGTATGTCCGCGAAGAATGTATTAGAAAGAGTTGCAAGAATATCAAAATATTTGCAACACGTATCGCGTAGCTCCAGTTCTCAAGCATGTGGTCATGCAAGGGCCATTTTAATAGGTTTACGACTCAGTGAAGCCCCGTTATCGGTGAATTTCTTGGAGCCGTGGGTTGGGCCAAATTTGTCGCCTGTTTCGATGAGCGGAACCCGTCCTAAAACAAATCTGCCCTTAAAAACCCTGCGAATTGTGTGCGCGCTATGCTAGGAATGGATGATAACAATGGAGACAGTTTGTTGGAAGCGAATCGAATTGGCTTGCTTGAGTCGATCATCCGGCTAAGTCTGTTCCAGAGTCACTGGCATTTGACGTATGGACGAAGCCATCTTTTCGGGGGAAGGCCAGCGTCTTGGATCGTCTTTTAGTGGAAGCCGGAGCAACAGATGCACGTTATATATCTCCATTTTGGGGATGTGAGGAGGTCCTTGATATCCGCACTCCGCAACCTCCGTGCATAACGGCATCGTAGTGATGACAGCGGGGCAAGTGATTGGTGCAGTGTTGCAAATTTTGTTTCACAAATCGCCAGCGGACTTTTTGCACTTTGCCATATCTTGCTCTGGGCCAAATGCTCAAGCAAAATAACTTCCCTAGGCATGCCACTGGCGGGTCCACCACGCTTCGGGCGCTTGTGATTTTTGCACTTGGTGCGTTCTGGTCTTGTAACATGGGTACATCCAGTTCCACCATGGACGTCCAAAGTCTGATAGGACGTCGGCAACGCGCGCGCGGTCAGCAATTGGCCCGTATCCAACTTTGTGGTCATGGATTGAGTTTGATTGTCATATGAGATCTGTTTTCCGGAATTTCAAAATTTTACTAACACGCAATTTCGCTTGACTGAGAAATTAGTCGAATCCATGCTATGAGTTGCGGGAACAATAATGGAGACGCGCTGCTCCGACATCGAAATAACCACCTCCACAGCCACCTCCCAGCCTTCCAGCATGATCCATCTGCCGCTTCTCCCCAATAACGGCTGTTCTGATGCTTTTGGACCGGAAGGCAGCTGTTGCTAGGCTCCTACAGCGAACTGTGTCTGACCCAGCTTAGGAGCCCATCAACCCACGCGCTGGTGGATTTGCCCAACCCTTGCTCACCACCGCCCTACTCCACCAAAGCAACAAGTGATTCAAGAGCAGGAATTAATTGCACAGGTTGTTTGGACTTGCGCTGGCTAGGGTACCGAATCGTCGTAATCGACCAGGTTCCTGCGTTTGGACCGGGCACCTGTCAAATACGACAACGCCATCAGGTGTCGTTTTTTATTGAAATTTAAAGAGGAAAATCCCCAATCGCTTGCATAACGGTACAGAGTACAAAACCCGTCTATTCTTTTGCCTACGATTTCTCGTGGAAGCATTCTCAGGATCGAGAGTGTCCTTCTCTCCCGCTGACGAATCGGACACTTTAACCCAGGACCACTGCTATTTCCACGAAAGTTCTCTGGCGCCTCAACAGCTGTCCACAACTATCTTACCATTTTGGGGCTATCCAAGCATCTCCACTCCTGCAAATAAAATCTGCAAGATTGGTGATCGGCCTTCCCCCTCTTTCTCATTAAGTTGGCTAGACCTCCTGGATCAATGACTTCGTCCGTTTGAGATTCGAAGAATCAACGAGGATACAGAAGAAAGGAGATAAAAGGAGGGAATAGGAAACGGGGGGAAAAAAAGGAGGAAAGGAGAGCAAAGAATGCTCTTTTCATCTCAGTGAGTATTCCATGTCTCGTAGTGTATTATATAATTCACTACAATTCTTGTTCGTCTCTCTCCTTGGTACTCTTGCCGTTAGCTGGCTTTGCTTGTAGGTAGTGCCCGGTTTCACAACTTTTTGTGGGGAGTTGGTTATCCGCAGCAGAACAGCTTCGTGGATACTCCTACCGGTGGCTTGAGAATTGACCCCATCTCTTCTTCTCTGGCTGCGGACTTAAGTTTGGTTCTTAACGTGGTAGCTCCTCTTTTATGCACAAGCAGAAAAGTCCTGGGTGTTTCACCCCTCGATTAGCTTCGCTGAATTCTTACCTTGCTCGCTCTTGATGAGGTTTTTACTTCGTATGCTCCTGGATCCCATTGACCTTCCCCTCAATTTGCTCGAAGGATCTCACATCATATATTTTCCATCTGTTCTTTTTTCTGTGCTCTGTTGATATCCTTGTCTCCTAGAGTGATCTCGAAAGCCCTGTTGTCACGATCCCCGCCACAACTTCTCCAAGCATCCCATACCTCGTTATATCATCCGCGGGGTAAAGACGCCATAGTGTTTAGATGTATCGGGAATTTTACGCATTCATTGCTCACAGTCGCGCATTGCCATTGCCTGAGAATCTCGCTGTGGCGCCATCCTGTGGCGCGTAGAAAGGCGGGCTTTATACTTCTTGGGGATGGCATTAGACCCTAGTCAGCACTCAAATACCTTTCTCCCTCATCGCATATAGCCATCGAGTTCGCAGTCCGTCAACAATTTCCGGAATGAATTGATGGACTACAACATTCATGATACAACTGGGCCGCATCAACCTGGAGAACTATGTATGGATATGTCCAACGATCAACAACTCAAAGAAACCCGTCAGGACTTGACCATGGATCCCGCCGTGGGATCAGCCGCTGACAAAAAGCGGAATAAACTGGGCTACCATAGAACATCGGTCGCATGTGGTAAGCCGTTCGTTCAGCATATATCTGGGAGGGTTCGATTATAAGCGCACTAAGACGTCGACATCATTCCTCGGCTTCCTGTTGTTTCTCTCTCTTGATTTTGATCCTTATTCTGGGTTTCTAACCGGTGTGAGTACAGTACATTGTAGGAAAAGGAAAATCCGATGCTTACTTGCCTCCGACGATACGCGATGCGAAAACTGTATTCGGTTGAAGAAAGAGTGCCATTTTTTCCCGGTGGATCAGCAACCGCCCATGGAAACAAAGCGGTCTCGCTCAGGGTCAAAAACTGGGGCCACATCAACAGAAGCGTCAATAACTTCGTCACCGCCAGCGCTGGGGGGTGGAGGAATAGTGGACCAGAGCGATTCGTACTTCCAGTACGCACCAATGCCGATGAACTCGGGACAGGATATTTCCCCGTTCGAGCCCGCACCTTTCGCGACGAACCCCATGCCGAATTTCAGTCCAGGTTTGTCCGCGCACGTTTGGTGCCTTTGTTAAACCAGTGACTGACTGTTCGGTAGGTCCTCTAAGCTCACACGAGTTAACCACTGTTCAACCTTTGGGCCAACCTGAAGCGTGGGACAATGCGTCGTATTTTGATCAAAACTTCCCCAGCGTAATAGCGAAGTCACAAATGACCACCCCAACGACCACTCTTTGGAATCATGCCCCAACATCAGTAGCACCTCTTTCCACAGACCCATCCATTCCCGGAACTCCCATCACTCCCGGTATTCTTCCATCCACTGGTGACCCAACAGCATTCGGCATGCCCGATAACTCTGTTTGGGGCACGCAGCCGACGAGATCAGCAACTCTCGCCGCAGGAAATCTCGCACAATACCAACACCCGTATCAGCAACCAATGCCACCGGAATTTAAACGGCGAATGACTGCTCCGGTGGATACGTATGGCCACCCAGCGAATAGTTCAATGTCAGAATTGCAATCGTCGACGGTTCCTGTTTCTTATACCCAAACGCAATCGTCAGCAGCCTATGCCTCGTGGGACGCATACCAAAGACAACCAACTGTGCCTGGTAACCTCAATCAACCTGTTATTGGATCATCTCCCGATGGGTTGGGGGGATGGTATCCAGCGGACCCACAGCAATACCCAGTAATGAAACAGGAGGATTATCACAATCCATGAGCCTTTCCTGAATAGAACGTTGTCTGGTATCGTACGAAAAGACGGACGTGGAGATCTCAAAGGAACCGGATTCTCACCTTGCAAAACTAATTGTCATGAAATTGACCGCATGGCTTCCCAGGTTAGCCAAAATCCGGGGAGAGGAGACGGGATTCTTTCCCTCCTCTTGATATCTGTATATACTTGAATTTGCCGAAACCACGCCACTTTGTTAACGTCTCCACTTTCTATAATCGGTTTTGGAATACGCCGGAATACTCCAGTATCCGGCACAGCAGAAAGGAATACCCTTACGGAGAAAGGGAAGCAGAATATAAATTTCTATCTCTGTAGTGGTTAAAAGTTCCGTCCTTTCCATTGTCGCTTTTCTGGTCCTTGATGCTAGTACAATCGACGAGTGATAAGAGGGAATCTCCACAATTAGGGTTTTTATCTCCCCAGTGGACTCCACATTTCTTTTCTCTTTTACAATCTGCTTCACTGGCCGATTTTTACGATGTGTGAGCTCTTTCAACTCGGTTCCAGCAATTTCAGCCTTGATGACGAACATTATTGACCTTTCGGACCATTTATCTTTCACACTTGAGTTTAATTTTTTACTTTAAATTTGGTTCCATTGCTTCTTATGGCAATCGCGAATCAAAAGCAGTGTGGCACGGGTGCCTCCCGAGATACTCCTTCCGAGCAATACTTTTTCACGTCCTTGCATACCCCTATGTCCTTGTTTGCAATATCCTTACGCTTCTGCCCACTTTCCGCAGAAGCCAGGAAGCAATTCTATTCATTACTTACCCGCTATCTTCACCGTCCTGGCTGGCATTCCTTCTAACATACATGCCTATCTGGGTTCTATCTGTGGGTTTGTTGGGAGGCACTAAACTATTCTGGCTGGTTCCCTATTCCCCTCGACGTTTTCTAGTTTTTATGGCGTTTTATCTCGTTTTCTTTTCTTTTTGAAATCGATCAATCGTCCCCCTTCCACCAATTGCCACTCTGATGGCGTTGTCAAGCCTCGGTTACCTTTTACAGAACCCAGCTGGAAATACCTCTCCGTACTCCTCCTCTCCTCTACAGCGTCATGCATCCAATTCCCTATTGGAAATAACATTCCTCATATTGGCATGGTATCGTTTATTGCCTCCTGGAGAAGCAATGTTGACAGAGAGGATTTACCACCCTTCCCTTCTCACGTCCTCCCAACCCTTACCGCTAACTTCTTCGCTGGCCCCATCCTTTTTGATTGGACCACCCTCCCCATCAAACAACTTCATTACTGCTTTGTATTTCCTCTCTGATCTTTCTTTGCATAGCCTTTTAGATTGACATATTCTTAGTAGATAGATATATATCTAAAGAGAACGGGCGCGCTCATAACGTTATACTTACGGATGGCGAAAAAAGTAGCGATTTTTCTCCGCCTTTCCGCTACTCGTTGTGTAGCGTGAATATAAAAGGCTGGGCTGGTTTTTATCGCTGCACACAAAATCCATTATAAACAATTTTTTTTTTTTTTTTTTTTTTTTTTTTTTTTTTAGAATAATAACAGCCTATTTTTGTCCCATCATCATAGCTTTACATTCAAAACACTTTTTTTTTTTTTTTTTTTTTAGGTTTTTTTTTTTTCACCAAATCTCTTCCCTTGTTTTCTTTCATCACCTGCTTTTTTGCTCATTATTGTTTTTGATTTCACTTATTGATGTAGCTAAGCTATCATTGACCATCATCCCATCATCCCATCATCCCATCATCCCATCATCCCATCATCCCATCATCCCATCATTCCATCATCCCATCATGTTGATCAACCCAACTTCATGATAAAATTACCATCCCATTATTGGATTATCAATAAAAAATTATGATTCCATTGATCAATTCATCAATTTTCCATAAAATGTGCAAAATAGTTCCATCTACCTACCCACCAGGCTGTTGTAGCAGGTGGGTGATGTGTGTATAGTAAAAATATAAGTGGGATCACAGCTTTGAACACTAGAAACACTCTGTCAGTCATACTTTAGACTACATATGTATAATGTGTACGTACAGCACATTTATACATCCTAGTACTCATTCTTTATTGTTGCTGTAATAGGCGGCGCAGTGCAAGTAAGGTTTTTTAAGGTTAATGTTCTACCACTATCCTCACTACACACAGACCACCTCTTACCACCCCCATTCACTACTCATTATTATATCAGAAGTGGGGTTTGTTTATTACTATTGCCACAATTTCTCTCACAATCCTTTGAAAATATTATGAAAAATGTTTTGAGAAATAGTAATTCAAAACATTGAAAACAATATAAGACATGGTTGTAACTATATGACAAATTGGAAAATAGTAACAAATCAGGAGCGATATATATATAAATAATTGAAGATTCCACGAGGACAGAAAAAGGATAAAACTTTGAGCCACATCCATGCATCATATATCATCAAATAATAAAAGAAAACGCAATCCTTAAGAAAGTAAAAGAGCGTATAGATGATGGAAAGATGTAATCACATGATAAACTTAGTATATAGAAAAGAAATATGAGTGAAACAGAGGGAGACTAGACCAACAGAAAAATAAATCAAAACATTTATCTACTCTTGCAGCATTCAGTAAAGGCATAAACGTAGATGAATATTGGAATTCAAAGTCACCCACTGAATAGTGTATTGAAATGACTTGAAAAATAAAAAAGAGTTAAAAAGCAGATTTAAAATTCAAAACCATAAAGCCAAAATGGAGATGCGCACTTCTGTCCACTGCCCAACCAAAGGCAACAAAACAAAAAACAAGAAAACGGAAGGGCGCTTTTTGAAAAGTTAAAATAAATGAAAAGGGAGAAAGAAGAAACAAGGACGAATAAGAGGAAGGGGGAATGAACAAATTTAATGAGGAATATGGTAAACAAGCGGAGGAGAGTATGTATAAATGGAAAGCCCTAAGACGTAGCAAGAATGGGCAAAAGGCACAGAAAAAATGAAAACAAACATATCGAATATAAAAAGCAAACGGTTGGTTGGGCAAGTGGGAAACAGACGCGATGGTATCAGATATAGTAAATCACATTAATCCACCTTCGGCAAAATAGGACATGAAGGAAAAGAGGGTTGGAAGGAAGTGATGAGACATGAAAATGAAGATGAAGATGAGAGTAAAATAGCAAGGAAGTGAAAAAGATGAGACGGAACGGTCACTATGCAAAACCCAAAACCCCTCTCCCCCACTCCCCGCCTCCCCAAAAAACAAAATAAATAAAAAATAAGAATTAAATCATAACATCAATCAACAATATTTTTGAATAAAATTGAAAATTCATGACGGAGAAATGTCATTATGCCGGTGATGGGACGTGGGCGAGTGAGGAAAGAAACAAACCGGTTGAGCTCACGGCAATGAATAGAGTTGGGACGGTGAATCAGGGCGAATCAAAGGCCGCAATGAGTTTTTGGGTCCGTCAATTCGAAGCTATGAACCTCAGGGACTTGGAGCTTGAGTCGCTGGTGGTAGGATTTCCCCCACTGAACATTGAGCCCAAATTGAAGGATGACGCGCCCAGTAAGAATACGGGTTGGCATTGAGATAGACGGATTGACTAATTGGCGGGTGAAGTGAAAGATCTTGTCCGATAGGTGAAGAGGGGAACAAATTAACGTCGGAAATAGCTTCTTCGGTCAGCAGAGGTTTTTTGGATCCCGATAGGAGGAAGCTCTTGTAAAATGCGTCATGAATTGGTAGTTGGAATAAAGATAGGCAGAAGGAGCAAATGCCACAGGGACATCACTCGGGAGTGTTCGTGACAAACACGATCCAACACAGTTACTGTAAAAATAGAGTGATCTCCCTCCCAAGTCACGAGGAAACGTCGAGAAAGTTAAATTTATTCATATATTCACAACAGAGTCTGCTGTGATGGCGGAAAGAATACATGTCCATGAAAATCCAACTAGTCGGAGAAGGCCACCCGCGATCGAACGACTTTCCAGCTAAATATAGAAAAGGTTCACAAAATCGAGAAGTTTCACGTGAGAGGTATCCAAATTCGTTCTGGGAACGAGGTGGAAAACCTAAATTTTAAAATCTGAGACGGTGGTTTTGGTGGAAACGAGCCCTTTCACAAACTCATAGTTAGCCATTCCCATTCCTGGCTCCCTCCTTGTTGAGCACCAGCAGCAAGACTGTGATGGGCGGGGTTGGCAGCAGCTGGTGGCTGGGTCGCAAGCGGAGCACCGGGTTTCGGTTTGCTTAATGAGGTCAAAGGTTTGCTAACTCTGTCTGTCGCATTACGCATTTCTGCCTCCTGGGGGCCCTGGAATCCAGCAGGTGCTTTATCTAATCGGCGAGTACGCTTGGATGTAACCTGGACGGGTGCTCGTACCTGGGCGAGGCTGGTAGCTAACGAAGTTGACGTCGTCTTTGGAGGTGCCGCAGCGATAGGCACAACACCGGTCTTCGTCAACCCCGAGTAGCTTGAAGGAGCACATGATGGTGTTAAACCACTATTATTAGGCGCTGCCGTAGAAGGGGAGTGATCCGATTCACCAGGACTTCTACTGAGCATGGCCGTTGCTGACGGCGCTTGTTGTACGGAGGTCTTCCGTGACACTTTTTTGGCGGAACGCGCTGATGCAACACCAACTGGGAGATTATTGCCGCTTCCTCGGTTGCGCTTTTTTATGATATCTGTTTTCAGTGACAATGGGCGGACAACACCATGTAGCTTTAGAAATAAACCGCAAGCATTGCACAAGGGCTGCCCTTCAGGGTTTCTTCGCCATAAGGGTGTTGTCTGCGTGAAACAGTTCGTACAGGTGGTGGGTACACCAGACGGCTCATTCTGTTTGATGGGCCCTGGGCTTGCAGGCCTCGAAGGGGCTGCGCTGCTGAATCCCGATCTTGGAGGAGAATTTGGAGTAGTATGGGGTTGACTGCTGATGCCTTGGTGGAGGAGCTGCGCCGTGTTGGGAGTTGAAATTGTCCGAGGGATCTTTTGCCTTCTTGGATCATGGTCTCTGTTACGGATTTCACTCACTGAGGCCGCAGAACCGTGAGTGCGAGCCAAACTTCCACTGGCCCAGTCGCGCTCGGAATCTGCAATCTCTGTTCCCCCGATTGTGACATGTTTTCTATGGCCTTGGAAGCTGTTTGGCATGGAGTTAAACTGTTTAGTCATAGGCGACTCCCACTGCGAGCTCGAATTATTAGGATTAATGGCGGTATCATCAACAGCACCACAATCGGGCTGAATTGCCATGGATCGGTCGGGGAACGGATTCCCATCCTCCTCATTATCAGAGTCCGCACCAAATGTAAACATGTTTACGACGCTTGTTAAGTTTCTAGGCTGCCCCAATGGACCAGATGAGAAGTCACCACTCGGTAGGACCCCTGTAGGATCCAGAGGCTGGTGCTGCATTGGGAAGCTTGGCGATGAAAGGTTCGAGTGGTCAGAGGTTCTAATTGCGTTGAAAATAGACTCATTAGTAGTGTGATAGGTATGGTTAGACTGCGAGGATCCAGTAAAGGCTGAGGATCCGCGAAAGCTGGTTATTGAATGGTTTGTCCTGAGGTCGATCTGATTTTGCTCTAAATACATCATACGTTCGTTATCAAAGACTGGTTGCGGCGTTGAGGCGGTGGATTGATATCCAGACTGCGGTGGCGAATAGAAGTCGGTTGAGTTGAGGGACGAACCCATTGGAGTGTGCGAATAAACAGATTGGAAAGGCCCGCTAGCGACCAATGGAGAGTCAGAGGGGGAGAATGGGTAATGTTGTTGGAAAGGACTTGTGGAGGGAAGAATCGAATTGTCACGAGGCTGAAATGTTTCTAAGCTGTAAGGGATGGCTGGAGAAGTGTGGTAGTTAAGTGGATAGGCCGAGTGATGTTGATCGAGAGTGTAGTCAGCCATATGAGCATCAAAATCCGGTTCGTGGGGTATAATGAGACCGGTAATGGGAGGCACCTGAGGAGATGCTTCAGCGGGTCGTTTCCGTGTCTGATTTCGAAAGAGACGTTAGCAGGAAACATAATTTCAAAAGCAATCAAGCGGAGCTATTCAAGAGAGTACATACATTTCTCTCGTCAACACTAGTTTTGCGAACACGGCGCTGCACATACCCAAATTCATCATTCCGTCGATGATGTTGAGGTGGGTGGGGAAATGAAGCAGGTATGAGGTTGTCTGACATAGGGCTTTGCTGGGATTTACATGTTTTGATCGGGATAGCGGATGCCACTGCATGACTTGACCTCGCCGCCTCGGCAGGCGAGGGCGGAGACAAACCGGAGGCGGAATCTATGGGCGATGGCGCAGTGAAATCGTCAATATTCATTGGTTCTGATTCAGCAAAAGTGCAATTCCCATCGATGGACTGTCGAAGCCTCGCTATACCACTGGGGCCAGCAGCAGATTTTAATATCTGTTTGTCTTCTCTATTTTATCATCTATGGTCAGTGACGGCACCATTTTAACGAAGTAAATGTAAGCGGGTGGGAATATAAGTCAAAAGTAAACAAAATCATGCAGGGAAGCATATTCTTCTACGTTTGGGGAAGAACAGTATCGACACATACTGCAGAGGTTTCGAGTTGTCCAAGTTGCGTGTCTTTTCAGACATATTTGCTTCATCACGCTCCCTCTTCTTCCTCAAGTTCATCGCCATCATGCGCCAGGTCAGATTTTCCATGCGCTCCTGGTTAGGCAATTGGGACTTTGTGCGGCTATAAAGCTTCCATATCTGAGTCGCGAGTGGATCCTGCTTTTGCAATTCGTCCGTATTCTCATACCCGCCGCCGGGTGTGCCATTTTTCCAGTACGGAAACACCGATTCGCGCAGCAGTCCCCCGCCAACAACACGATCGTGGAGCGACAGTTCCTGAGGTGTGTCTTTGGAGAACCACGGCTCCCTAGAGTCATTCTGCGGTGCGGTGATTTTCCCAAGGCCCAAGGAGGGAGGAGAGGCAAGGCCGACACTGGATTTGTCATGGAACTGAGCAGTGGAGCTAGCAGGTTGGTTTTCGGCTGGGATTAAGGAAGCAGCGGTGACAACAGTGGTGGTGGTTTCTTGTGGCGATACAGTGGATGATGAGGTCGTGGTAGTTGACAGATCTGATCTGGACGAGAAAGCCGCCAGATAAGCTGCTGCATGGACCACACGCTTTCGTTCCTGCCCAGACGTCGATGACATGGCCGAACGCCCTGTTTCCTTTGAGGATGCTGTCACTAGTGGGTGGTCGGGAGGGTGAAATTTCATGGCGACGACGGGGTCAACGAAGTCGATGATGATGTTGACGGAGGGGGAAACGGTGAAGAAACGAAGACGAGGACGGCGAGACGGGAGGAAATGTGGTCTTGCAACCCGTTTCTCCCGCTATAAATTGTTGAAATATTGGTTGTGCAGCACCGGCCGAGTCATCGATTGAGAACGTGGGGCTTTGCTGGGCAAGGCGAGCCTGCCGGGTGCAGAGCAAGGACTTCTGCAAAGTTTCTAGACTAGACCTCGAGTTTGCGGGGGGAGGGGGCGCAAAAGAAAAGGAAAAAGGGGAAAAGAGGGCAAAGAATTGCCAGCACGCTCGGTGATTGTTGTGAGAATGATCGCTGCTGGTGGTCTTGTCGCAACTTCGCCCGTCCGGCCTCCAAAGTGGCTGAGATGAGGTTTGGTAAGTAATTGAGGAATACGGGGTGTTACCACGGATGTATTGCCGCAACGCCTTGGCCCGATGTCGCTGGTCATGGTGCTTGTTTTCACGTTACATCCTGTATGTATCTCCCACGAAGGATCTAGATATATTTACATCCGGACAAATTGTCAACGGCAATGTGTTCTCCGTGCAGGGAAATGGCATGGCGATCTCAGCCAGCAGAGAGACGACATCCCGTAAGGACCAATATGGATATTCAACAGGAGAAAGTAGTAACTTATTGTTCTTTTCCCATACCACATCGAGTAATGTAGACCTGCTCTGAGAAGAATGTTCTGTTTCGACTCTTCATTGCTACATGGCTTCTATCTATCCGTGCAGTTACGCATCGAGCAGACGTCAGTGGGCCGATGTATGTCCTGTACAGCACTCCGTACTGCACTCCGTACATGTTCATACAAAGTTATATCCACCACTTCTGATGTTACCCGACCACAGCGGTCAACCACCCCCCAATACCGCCGTATGAGGAATGGTTGGCGCTGAGACGCAGGTTGGAAACAGACACTCGAATCTGTCGTTCTGTGAGCTGTGAGAGGACGGTTCATCCACTGATGCAACCATGATCACCCACGTCATAATCTGCGGCATGGCTTTACCAAAGCACGCTATCCCAGACCAGAGAAACGCCACGATGCATCCGGGCAAAGGCGCTGAGCATGTGTTTATCTTGGCAACATCCGAGCGGCAGAACGGTGTTGAGATATCCTCCTCTCGTCTGTCAAATTGTCAATTGACAATTTGATCGAGGGGTTGAAATTCAGGATGTTTGAGTGGGGATTCGGAATATATGTACATGTACAGTACATGCATCCAGAACAATATAGAACTTCCCTCCCTTAGCCTCTGACAACACAATATTTGTGGGATAGGGAATCGGAGGATCAATCATCAACAACAATATTTCTCTCCTGTGGGGCCTGTGGGATGGGAGGAGGCCAGTTCTAGAATTCCTTTTTGAGTTTTGAGTTTCGAGTTTTGAAGTTTTGACCTTATTTTTCTAACAAGGACCTAGGAAATGAAAAGGGACAAGTGAAAATTCAACTGACGGTTTAGTAGAGAGCGTAGTACACTGTAGATAGTACCTCTCCTATGCCATTTCGCAGCTGCTACGGCCGGGTGGAGCGATGTTCGACTTTACAGAGAAATAAATTCATCAAGAAGAGAAAGAAAGCTGGATGGATCTTAAAGCACATTCAAATACTATCAACCATCGCCAAAACAAATATGTCATCAAATATGTCATCAATCTTTTATGTAGTAGTTGTTGATAGAGGTAGAAAGAGAAAGGTTGGTTCATTGTAGCTCTCTCGCAGACGCAGCAGCTTTTAGTAGTATTTATCTAGGCTACTGGGGCAAAAGAGCTCAGTGCCACCAGCGCCGTTCGGGGACGAACTGTTCAATCCAATCCATCCAATAACTGTTTGGCCTGATGTTAGACGCCGTTAGATGCAATACCCAATCTAAACGACCTGTGATTCAGCGGTGTTGCCGCCCAAGTTATCCCACTCGTCGACAGGAGACAATACCTGGCTACATGGCTAGGACGAATTATGAACCGTGACACTGCCTTACCCTCCAGGTCAACTCTGCCAGGGAGCAGGCCCGCAATTTCGCGAGGCTGGACAAAGCATGAAACGGGGCATCATCCGGAACCCGATCGCTGCAGTTCAGGCTCCCTTCTCGATCTTCCTAGCGAATTACACCTGCAGCTCATGTCATGGCTCGACTTCCGCGATATACAAATGCTGCGCGCCACAAACAGGTACTTTTGGCATCTTCCATCAGACACACAGATCGCCCGTATTAGACGCGACTATGTGGCTGATCTTGTTAGCGCCGAGATGAAAGAAGTTGCTGAATCCGCAGCCAACGCTGTATCGACACAAGCCCCTAATGATACTTGTGGCGATGACGCCTCACAGCGCTTAACGTGTTACAGCTGTCTCCGTCATCTTCCCATATACTCCTTCTCTCGCACTCAAACGACCCGACGTCGTGGAAAGGGGCATGCAGATGCCTCCAAACGCTTTTGTGTCGATTGTGCACTGCGGCTCCATAAATGGGAGCCTGGAATCTCTCTCTCTTTTTCATGGGGGGACGCTGTCTATTGTCGACGATGTCGCGGTTTAGTGCCTCTACGTAATACTCCCGCTGAATGGGCCGGGACTCTTGGGCTGTGTGAGGGTTGTCAGGCCGTGTTGGGAATCCCAGATTGGCGTCAACATGAAGGAGAGGGAACTCGGGGATTTTGGTATGGGGCGAAAGCGTTACTAGATCGGAACTTTGCGGAACAAAGGAAGGGAACGCATAGCGAAAGGGTGGATATGTGGGAGACGCTTAGGGCGGAAATTGCGAGCTTGAGGCTTTCAGAGAAATTGGAGGTGTAGCTGGTTCGAGATATATGATATTACACTCTCAATTTCGCACAACTCCAGCATACAGTTGGCCCCGCGTGAAATGCTGTACACCACTTTGGATCTTCCCTCGAAGGTATAGCCTGGCTATCATTCGCTTCCACTATGCCAATTTGGCTATTATACTTCCCTGAGACCTAGCTCCTGGGATTTGCGCCAACCAGAGCTTCGACAAGAGCCAGATAGGCCTTTAGTTTCTCCTAATTCACACATCACCGCATCCTTACGACAGCAGTGTTCGTGTGCTCATCAAGATGTCCATATTTTGGATGATAATATGCAGCCGTAGCCATCGCAGCTAACCGTCGCCTATGCAGAATTCAATCAAGTTACCACAGATATTACCACCGACCCATGTCACATATACTATTATATGTGTGTGTATACCCAACTGATCATCAAGAAGATGAAAAAAAAAAAAAAAAAAAAAAAAAAAAAAAAAAAAAAAACTCCAAATGCCTACTGCTCGATGTCGCCAAAAGATAAACTCAAACTGTCAAAATATCAATCAACAAACGGTGCATATTCCCATCTCATCTCCTCCGTCAACCCCATCTGCGTCAACCTCCCCTGGTCCCAAAACACGTATCCCCATTTCCTATTATAATAGTTATGCATCTGGCACAGATATTTCGAATTCTTCTTATGCAACCACTCCCAACCTAAATTTGCCCTTGACCAATCTGCATCAGAAATAAGCTTCTCTGAACGCTCGATAATGGGCCAGAAATAACCCGTGACACTCGGGTTCAAGGCACGAGTTAGGAAAAACGAAGCGTTTGTTGAGTGGCTCTCAATTACCCAGGTTGCTGGATTAACCATACGCTGTTGCGAAATTTTCATTGTTTTGTTTCCGTTTGTGCCTGTTTTGACCTTCGCCTTCATAACTGGACAGGGCTTTACTTGATCTGAAAGGTGGAACCACTGCCAGAGAAATTCGAGGCCTCGAGTCAAATATTGTTCTCGCTGGTCGTCAACAGCGAGGTCAAAATCGACATCTGGAAAATGTATCCCTTCCCGTTAGCTCAGAGATACCACCCATGACAGCGAAAGAACATACCATCTTCCAAGTCTGGTCCGCCAATACCGACTCCAATACCACTGGCTCTGCCTCTTATTCGGCTTCTAACTCTAGCCCGATTCGCCGCGCGCTCCTGGCCATCGATTACGCTCTTATTCGAAGAACGGTTCGTCTCCGGGCGGCTCGTGAGATAGATTTGGTACATGTAGTTCCTGATACAGTGGATTTCTTCCACCTCCCACGGTGGTAAAGACTTGAGGAAGGTGATGTAATAGTTCGGATCGTTCATATGCCAGACCGTGTGCATGAATCCTAGCATTTCGACTCGGTACAGAGCCCGGCGGATACGGTATGATTCAGCCTCGGAGAGTGGGAAGATCTCATCACCGCCACCGGTGCCGGTGCCGTTCTCATATCTTTTCCCCGTAAAGGGGTTGAGCCTCAAACAAGACATCGAAAAGTCTTCTGATATCGCGTGTACAATAAAATGCTGTCGAACGACAACAAGAAGTTCGTCCAGCGACAACGCACAAAACTGAGCTGATAGCCCATTGTCTTTTGAATACGTAAAGTTCACGCCATTGACGCTCCTGTTTTTTATTTCCTCCTTAATTCCTCTTTCAACATCTGCATCTGTGCCGACATTCTTCTTCATATCACGGCCGTCGCCAACAGAGTTCCGAAAAAAGCAACATAATTCATCATATATATTCAGAAAACTTTTTGCGAAACCCAAGATCCCCACCTCCTCCGTTCCTTTCAGAGACCCGCGATCGGACGACCGGCGCAACACCGGTAGAGAAGCCACCTCTGCGAGGATGGCGAGCGGCGTCGTCCGGGTCAGTAAACGGGCCAAAATCCGTCTACGGTCAAACTGGTAGATGCTATGGAAACCGGGAGACGCCTTGACCACATCGCGCAGCGATTCGAGGTCCGGCAGTAGGCACAATATTTCAATTTTGATCTCTGCAGGGAGATATTCTATTGATGTGCGTTTGGGTAATGAAGGGTGCGATGTGGAAAGGGTTGATTCCATGGTATTTTCATAGGCTTGTCCCAATCGCCTGCGTTCTTCCTCGGTCGGGGATTGCAGTAAAAGTGATTGATGGTGGTGTTTTCGGGAAATAGCTTTATGATGTTCATTTTCCTGAAAAATCTTCCTCGTTTGGAATACCCGGGAGCGTTAAGTAGGTGGATATAGCAGTAGATTTCCTCGAGGCCTTTGTCTTTGATACAGAGCGCATCATCTCTCTTTATCGAGCCACTTGAAACAATCAAGGTAATGGAGATAATCCTATTCACCTTCAAGATCCATTGTGATTAACCTTCTTTGTTTTGCTGAGTTTGAGACTTGGGTTGTGCCTCGACGGAAACCTGAGGAACAAGAAAAAAAAAAAAAAAAAAAAAAAAAAGCATACAAAGACTTGTTTAAGTCAGTATCATGAGTGTCAGCCATCACTCGAACATGCGATTTTTATATATAACCCCAAACGATCTATTAGACGTTGTGCTCTTTGATCTTTTGAACTAATTTCTGATTTTTGCTTTCTCCATCCATGCCTCGCCTCCATGAGATGCTCCCTCGAAATATATATATAATTTGTAGGAGGAACGGCGTAGAGTCTAGTAACTGGGTTGCAACCAAGAAGCTCGCAACACAAAGTTGAAGCAAACCATTCAACTCGAATCCAAGGCTGTCGAGCTCCCAAATTTGAAATGTAAGCCCCGGGGCAGTAAAGCCCGTTGAACGGCCTTCTTGCCTAGGGATTGCAGGTTGAGTTTGGTAACTAATAAAGAAAGGCCTTAATTAACGTTTGTCTTCAGCACGCGAAAAATTTCTTAGATTCTGCTATTGCCTTGACATGCTTCATTTACTGTCAGGGGCGCGGAGGGAAGCCTGTTATATATAGGTGATGTGAGCCGCCCTTCTGAACTCTGGTCACTACATTAGCCAATTCTACAAGTTCACGTTGTAAATTGTCACGATTACGATTCCCTTGCCTCGGATAGTAACCAAAGCTCTCCAGCTCCCGCTTCTATTAATACAATATCACCGTTTCATTGTTCCACATAATTGATATAGATTGGGGATAAACTGGGGGATTTTCATATCTTACGGAAGTCATGAAGGCAGACACGCAGTACCACCGATAAACAGAATATGCTATGTGTATTCACTTCATCGTTGGTGTGACTAGAATTAAGGAGGTTCAAGAAGGAAAAACGTGAGTGAGAATATAAGAAGGTAAAAACCGACATACCTCAAGTTCGATAGCTCATTTGCACGCGTTACTATTTGCGACAACTCCTGGTTGAACCATGCCCACGCACGGGATATATAACATACAAGCCTCCCTTCCCCGTCCTTCTTTTGTTTATCACCTTCCTTACCTCGTCCATCTTACCTTAGTTAACTATAGCATTTCACTCGCTGACAAACGCCTTCACACACGCTTCTCAGGAAATAAGTGAGCTGAGCATGCTAGGGAAAATGAATAAAGGCAGCCCGTGTATGCCACTCATTCGTCTCAGAAATGATCAATGTCGACCGCTTAGTTCAGCCGTTGCCACCCGAATAACGACGGGAACATCCGCCGCCCTCGCCTCTCGAATACAGCAGGCCACACAAGTCTGCCCTACTCGGCCCACCACTGCATCTACACCAACCATTGCACACCACGATCTGGCGAAAAGCTCTTTATGTTCACTGCCGCGCGCATCGACGACATACGTATGCTTCCATTGCGACCCTTCCAGTTTAGGGTTAGTCGCAAGCGGAGGGTAATTTACAGGGAGCGAAGAAGTATGAGCTTCCAGATGGTTTGGGGTTGTTGGCAGGCGTGGGGTTGAGGGCAATGTGTGGATCGGGATATAGCTGTATGGGAACGATGCCGTGTGAAGTAGGTGGCCCGGGAGGCGCAGGCGGGGCGTTGGCTTGCTTTTCCTAGAGGTCCTGTTTTTCTCAAGTCCGATGTAGTTTGTTTCCTTCTTAGTAAATGAGCTGTTGGTGCACTGATGAGAGGCATCACGCTATTCGTAACCGGAGGACAGAACGCTACCGTACGGCGGGAGACAGGGAAACGCGGAAACGAAGGACACGTTATACTTTATGCTCATGAATACTTGGCTCGGGCCGGACAAGCCACGTGTGAGTGTAAACGCTAGAGTGGCGGTAGCCTTGAGAGGGCGTGCGGTGACAGAAGGGTGTTGAGAGTGCTGTAAGGACAAAATAGTGTTCTCATACAGCACTTGTGTATCCTGACTTGGGCCAGCGTTAGCCTCATCAAGCGGTAATGAGAACGCCATTGCTGTTAGATCACCCTCGGTCCCCAGAGGTGACGAGTCAAGAAGAACACTTTTTCCTTGATTTATACGTGCCTGAGTGTGGGTCTTAGTGATGTCTATTGTCTCAATCTCCAGCCATCCATCGCTCAGGGGTGATCTCGCATCATCAAGTGGAATAATAGTCGTACTAATCCAGCCCATGCAGATTGTAGAGGCATCAAGGCTGGCAAGAATGCGACCAATAACGCATGCTTTGCTCCACCAACTTTGGCCTTTATATACGAAGGCTCCATGAAGGTTAGCAATGGGACCGAGCCTTGATATTGCATCGTGATCATTCTCTAGTATAGCGGACATCAATATATCATATATGGTTTCGCCAGGCATGATCAGCCCAGTCAACCACGTACGAGACATCCATCCTCCCACGTAGTTGGAACTGTCACGAGCAGATGAAGGACAGGAATGGAGGCGGCACAATTTTAAAGAGTGGCTTTTGCGATACATTTCACATTTCCCTGGCAGCTTAATGTTGTCTGACAGAGGCACAGTGCTCATCGGCGAAACAAACATGTGGTTGAAATTAGAAGGCTGCAAGAGGGCAAACTCCAACTTCTCCCTCATATAATGCTTCATATTTTCGATGTCTGGCCATTTCAGAAGTTCTGCAAAGACCAGCAGGGCTTCTAGCTGTTGCCACGGGTACCGTGGCAAGAGTGCACATACCCAGGGCGAATCGAGGTCATGAGGCTCCTGAACTTTTGGCACGGAAACTATTGAATGGGTTTTCTTGGGCAAATCATTCAGGGACCGTTTGCCTGGCAATTGGTGAGACGCCTGTGGCCAATAGTGGAAGGAGATGTTTTCGAAAATTCGACGGCAGAAGGTTAACCCCCAGTCCAGCGTATCTGATCGCAAACTATTCATTACGGAAACATCCCGTGGCGTGATAGGCAAATCCTTGGACTGGCTATAGATCCCAATTTTCGCCGCCGCAGCATCAGCGCGGAATAAAACCTCCGCGGATAAAACAACCTGTAATAAAAGCCACTTCCGTTGGAGTGCTGTGCCTGAATACTGTCTGTCTGAGGCGTTTTGCAGGCAATCACTGTCTTGATGAGGAGGAAGCTCCCAGAGGATTTGACCTGCACGAACCCTCCATTTCATCAAACTAAAGTCTACCCAGGCACCCTTAAGATTGAGCACTTGTATCAACGTGCTGATCTGAAACCGAAAGCTATCGGGATGTTCTGCGTGTACCGCGTTTGGTGGGGGATATAGAAACGTGCTGAAAAGCTGACGGTGGAGGCCTGCAACGCTCTCTTCATCAAGCAGGGTTACAGACTTTCCTTGGAGAGTGATTTGATCTTGCACACCCGATAAAGTCTGGAGCCTCTGTGTAATAGTCTTCATAGAGAGATCGCGCACGCCAATGCGTTTCCACGCCGAAGGTCCTGCTGCCACTAATTTCAAACGGTCAAAGGTAACATTTAAGTTGTAGTCGGAGTATGGATCATCCTTCCCACGGGGCGCCGGTGTGATTTGCAAGTGTTTATCGAGCAGGCGTGGTGACAACAGCCGCTGCTCGGACCTGGGTCCATACACAATTGGTAGCTCCATGAAATTATGGAATCCAATGCAGCCATCCTCATTTGCTCTCGAGGACAACATGTTTGGAACCTCGAACACGCCAATATCAAACGAGGGCCGTCTGCAACCGCTCTTTTCAGTTAGGGCATCCGGATATATTTGTATTCCTCCACCACCTGGGGAAACCGGGATGTGAGCATGGAGTGTTGACAATGTGAAAGAAGGGTGCTCTAATGCCTTCTGATCGTCGAGATGCTGAATTCTCAGATCATTATCCCATGGGAAAACCACATGAGGATACCACCGTTTGAGCCCCTTCTCCAGAAGAAAGTGCGGTGTTCCGGAGAAGATATATTTCAGTTGATGTTCAGACAGGGAGTGCGGGGAACCCTGAAGCTCATTTAGATGGGTTGCCGATTGGTAGGCCTCCTGGATCTCACCGGGAACACCCATTTTCGGAGCAGATGAAGTTGGCGCGGAAACCCTGTGAGGATTTCTGGCAAACATGGGCGAGGGTGAGTATCCATAGGATACTGTATGTTTTCGGGTCTCCTTATGATCAACCCCGTTAGCTCCTTTTCTCATAGGCTCCAGACGGAATCGAGTGGGGTGCGATTCACGTTGTTTGGGGTTTCATCCTCATGCGAATGGTGATGCCCGAAAAGTCCCAAGATGGAATATTTTACTCCAGGCCTTGGGTGACCGGCTCCATTTGCATCCGCACTCACAGCCTTTTTATGCTGATTCAAGCGCATATCCGAAGAAGAGCCAAGCAGGGTCCGAGTAAAGCCCTGAAGGGTAGTGACCCCGAAGCAGAGACATTACATAGGCTCTTGGAGTAACAGATAAAAGTACTAGTAATAGGAGGCAGTAAAGACTCCTGGCTAAAGCCATACTAGCTATTGTGTCTTATGACATCGACGTGGGGAGATGGAGGAACCGTGGAGTAAACTATCCTTAGTTACGCGTTTGTTGAAGCTGTGAAGCATCGTCCATCGTCAGTCAACGAGTGAGTTAGTTAACTAGTTACCCGCCACCGGGGGGTGGTGGGCTTAGATAAGCGTGGTATCGACCCTTCTCGACTTCGACATTCTCGATTCTGGCGACAGTTAAAATTCTCCTTATCCATGCCAGAAAATAAACACATTGGAATGACGTATCCATTTTCCGCTAAACAATCGATCCCGCTGGCCGTCCGGGTGTTACCTCGATTATACTCTGGTGGCTGGTGAGGAGCATTTATCAAGTTTCGTATCTTGACGGTCTGCCTACCTCGAGTAACTAGTACTTACTGGCGCAGCCGAAACGGCTGAGATCTATCGCCAACACGTAACAGGTTGATAAGAAGGCTGAAGTCGTACATGCAGCTGCGTGCACAGGCTTGTTGATGGATTTTGAGTCCCTGTCATCTGAATTGGTTGATCTCTACAGGTCCTTCAGCCGCTGGGTATCCATGCATTGCGCATGAAAATTACTTTTTCATGTAGAACATGCTTTCTTCAATGAGGGCAGGATCTTATTTATCCATTTGATTTCCAGCAGCGGCCGTGGAGTTGTTCCGTATGTATGTACAGCACATGTATGATGCCATGAAGCCGTGTTTTGCCGTCTGCAAGTATTAAGTAACGGCTTAAATTAACTATCTAGCTAATCAGCTATACGAAGTATCATCCTCTTAATTGAAATGGAGTCCGTCATGGGGAGGGACAGTATGTTGTATAGATATGTCTCCTCTCCGCCCACTCATCAACTACCTACCAGGGTTGAGATCAGAATCCTCGGGCCCACAAGATCTCTACAGTGGATATGGAATAATAATGCCTTCTTCCTTTACCGACTAGCCAAGGGCGCGTCTTGTATCATCTCCTGTGCATCAAGATGCATAGGACTAGATAAAAATAGCAAGTACAATGGTCTCGAAGCTTGTGTAGATGAAATTTGTTCAACAGAAAGAGAATAATATGTGCGTAGTTACATCAAACGAGCACTCAAAGAAATAATTGCAAAGTCGTTTCGTAAAATTTAACTAACACGTCAAAGGAAGACACTGAAAAAAGAACCGAGCAGAGCCTTGAGTTGAATCAATTGACCCATTCGCCAACCAACTCCTTGCCGCAAGATTTTAACCAAGATCCGCTTGTATCATCATTTCTATGTATTTCTAGTTCTTACTAGTGGCAAAAGCATCGTTCCGCATGATAATGTGATCCCATGCCTAATTTCACGACTGATAGGGTCAACTGTTTCAGCGAAGCAAAGCAAGAGTATAGCATCCCTGGCAGAGCTAATAACGATAGGCAAAACTAAAAAAAAGTAAAATGGCAAGAGTTGATCTGTTGTCATCGATTCTGCTAAACGACCCCATAGATATTCCAATATTACACCTGCAGAGGAGGTGGTGGTTTCGTTCAATATTGACTCGGCCCAAAACATTCCGTGCTTATATCGGGTTAGATCCCCAAAGTTCGGTTGACGCCTCGGTCTTTTGAGGATCGTCTTGCTATTTCCAGGTAGATTTCTACTGCGCACAAGGGCTTTTGGTTCCACACCTCGGTACAGGACATGGTGAAAGCCGGAGGAGGGCAATCGGCACACGGCTTTTCATAGCCGTATCAATTGCTTCGAAGCCTGCTGGTATGCTGAGCGACTTGGTTGGTGGCCATTGGCTAAAATAAAGGTATGTGTCGTAATATGGGCGCCTCACCAGCCGCTTTCGCACTGGAGTGATTGTGGTCACCCATGAGAAATTAACCTGGCTGTTGACTTGCTGGAGGACCAAGTTGCCAAATAGTTGACTCCAGTGACTAACTAGTTAAGTGCCATGATGGACGAGGGCAGCCAAGATGTAACTACCACCTGCCAGTGATGATGAGTTGGCTTCCTTTCTTTGCCCCAGAAAAAAATAAATAGCTGACGGAGCTCGTCTGCCCATCTTCCTCCTCACTTTTCTTCGTCTTAGCCGTTCTTCGTCCTCTCACGTCTTTTGATATATCTCAACCACTCCCCTTCTGAAAAAAGAAACCAAATCAGACAGTCACCACTGCCACACGGGGTGTTTTCGGTCGAGGTGAGTTTTTTCCGCTTTGTTTCCTTCCGAGTATTTCTTTGATTGGGGGTCCCATTCAAGCTTCCTGCGCCGCCGAACACAGCCCAACAAGTACCACACTGGCGGGTGCCTGAGGCGCGGAGTGTACATGTACAGGGCGTGGTTTCGGCTCGAAACTTCTGGGTGTCCACTGCAACTGTGGCTTGGCCGCCTCCTGCTTAGGTCATCCTCCTATTTAACTATTTACCGTCGAACCGATGTCGCCGCAAGCCCAGCTTCATCCTCCTCCTCTCCCTCTTCCTCACCATCTTGCCCTTCGTCCCTTGATACTGATATCCACCGCCCCATTTCCTATATCACCACCTTGTTTGCTCCCTAATTGCTCTGTGTGAGCTCTATCCTGACAACTGCTTGGTTCTCTCAGAAATTATCATCTCCGCAACTCCCAATACGAACACGCTTGCCGGCGGGTTCTTGAAACTGCCATCGATAGCTCCTACCAGCGTTGTATCATCCCTCTATCATTTGATTTTACCCTACCAATCTATCCTTTAGGCTTACAGCTTCCGGGTGTAAGTATGGTCCCTTTAGCTCCAGTTTCGACATCTGTCTCAAAATGGCACGCTAATGGACAATGACTCAATAGCTCTCCGAGAGTCCCGAAAATCTCAGTCTTACTTATCCTCACTGTCATTATCTCTTCCTTGGATATAAAAGAAAGCGCGAGAACAACTCCCGCTCTCCCTCCTTGGAATTCACATAAGCGGATATAAGGCTATAACAAGACCACTACTATCCCGCAGCAAAATAACTTTAAACGATAAGGAGAAATGGCACCATCAAGAAAGCCACGCTGCAACTTCAAGGACTGCAAGGAGCTCGCCCAGCGCATCGTCGGTGACTGTGGTTTCTGCAACGGCCACTTCTGCGGCAAACATCGCATGCTAGAATCCCACGCCTGTAGTGGCCTAGAGGACTGCAAGAAGGAAAGCCATGAACGCAATGCGGAGCGGCTGAACGCGGAGCGAACTACAGTTATCAAAGGCGTATGATACCGGGAGGAGTGTTTGGTTGCCTTCGTGTCCGCTTCGATTTTTGGATATAGATCATCATGAGCCTTTTTGGTCTTTTTTTTATTCCGGTCTTTTGTCTTTGTATTGTCTTATTTCTTTTTCTCTGCTTAGGCAAGCAACATCTTGGCTGGGTTAGCCATTACATTACCAGGTTTTCTCTTAATCTGTGATAATCTTCCGTGTTGATGGTGTTAGAATACTCCTCTCCGACGGTGGCTTGGAGTTGCGTTGACACAAGAGAATATGGAGGACGAGTCTTTGAGTCTGCGTGGAACCTTGGGGGAAATAAAAGGAGGAGAGAAAAAAATTGAAAAACAAAAAAAAATAAATAAATAAAAAGTCTCAAGTGGGAGTAGGTGGAAGCGGCAAGATACTATTCGATTCCCTTGAATGTTTCGCCGAAGACGTCCGTCCTGAAAACCCAACATTGCCCAATCCGTTCCCTTCTTCACGCTCGATACAAACTCCCGCATATTACCATTGTCGTCAACAAACAAGCCTATATTTATTATTCCTTCTCATCCACTTCCACTTTCAGGCTCTATCGTCCCTGGTACTCACCTACGCCCGCGACTGTTGTATGCTTTGTCTGTCCCTGCCCTTTTTTTTGCTTTCACATAAATCCAATGCATGGCGTCACGGTAGCCGCTCGAATATTTTAATCCCTCCGAATTGATTCCATTTTCCATCTATTCTGGCGTGGTTTTCTCTTTCCTTTTTCCTTCTCACTTTCAAAGGATTTCGCGCCGCACGACCTCGTGTTATTTTTATTTTTATTTTTATTTTTATTTTTTTATCAACCAACTACTACAAAGAAATATATCTAGCTAGACATTTGGTTTTTCGTTTTCATCCATAACATTTGGGGATAAATACACCAACGACGAAACTACCCCTTACCAAGAAAGCCACACGAACCATCCCAATTCCACAGTTGTGCGTTTGCATATCATAAAACATTGTTCGGGTAGCTAACAACCAACAAAGAAGAAAAGAAAAGAAAAAGGTGAGTCCAGATAATGAAAACGATAAAAGACCGCAAGGTAAAAAGAAATCCAAGCACCCCGATGCTAGGATAGACAAAACGAACAACGCCTGTTTCCGACGCCTAATGAACATATCATGCCTTGAGTATTTGTCGGATCAAGACAGTTGGTAAAGTAAAGGGTAGTCACAGGTGTTGACGTAGGGAGGAAGGAGATTTCAACCATGGACCGCAGGAGATAATGGGCCGGAAGGTCAGAAGGCGGCGGGGGAGCAAGCAACAGGACTCCCGCCGATGCACGGCAGAATATACAAGGGGATCTCCCGGTTCCCGGGCATGCCACTCACAATCAAGGACATGAAACGAGGTCTTGTTTTGGATCGTTTGTTAAGACGAAGTGCAATACTGGTGTAAATGTGTATCCGCCAACTGAGCAGTGGTTAACCCGGTCCGATTCGGGGCCTGTGGGAAGTGGAAATGGGGGAGTTAGCCAGTGAGTTTGCAAGTAGCTGGGCACCTCACGAGGTCTCCGGGAGCGAAGAATAAGCCCGGGGCCGGGTGGAAGGGGAGGGTTTGTGGAATTGCATCGAACGTACATGTCATGATGCTCGCTCAGATTACTGAGATACCTGTTCAACTCCTCCACGCGCTCCTTATGTGTCTTGAAGCCTTCGCGCTTGAGGCGTTCGTCGAGCTGTGGGGGATCAGGGAGAAGGAAGGAAGTGGAGTTAGCTGAGCCGTGTCGAATAAATGGAGCAGAAAATAACAAATAAATCACCGCAAAAAAAAAAAAAAAAAAAAAAAAAAAAACATACCCTCTTCCGTCTCGCCTCCTCATACCTTCTCTCCGCCTCCGTCTTGTTCACCACAGCCTTGTCGAAACCCTCACTCACACCTCGACTTCGACTCCGACTTCGACTCCGACTCCCATCCCAATCCCCATCCGACCTCACCGCACCCTCCCCTTCACCGCTTTTCATCCGCATCCCATCCGCTCCTTCATCACGACTCCCATTGGGCCCCTCATTCGCGCCCTCCTTGACCTTTCCTCTCTCCTTCTCCTTCTTCCGCTTCTTGTTCCCCTTCTTCCCAACCCGCCCCTCAAGCACCGGCGCGCCCTTGATCTTCAGCTTCCCGCCGCCGCTGACGTACTCGTTTGCGGGCGCCATTTTCGGGGGCCTGCTGTACTGTTGTCCGTGAAGACGAGGAGGCTATCTACCAAGCATGAGTACTGCCGTAAACCATCGTTGGGAATATTCCTTGTGTGGAAGTCTGTGCGCTCAATGATCGATGACTTGTTTCATTTCTTCCGCCTTGCGGTGAAATGGCGCGGGTTTCTGTTGGTCCAACCTTGGAACAACAAGCCCTGCCCCACGTGACCCACTCAGATCCATATTGGTGCCGCTAGTCCGTAATAGGTAGCCTACGGCCAACCAATCGTTAATTAACTATGCCAGCCATTTGATTTCCCCCGTCTCTGTTCGAGGAAGAATTCATGGGCAAATTTTATGGCCAGTAGGTTCCATCCAGTATCTGCTTATCTGATAGATGGCTGTTCGTATTTTAAGATTTATAAGAACAAAAAAACATTTATCATATTTCCATACATGGTTCTCTAATAAACATGGATGGCATGGCATGACAACCCCAAAGAAAAGGAACGCCATTCTCATAATGATACACAAAATCATTCGTTAAGTTTTTTTAATCAAAAGGGATAGGTCGCAGCGTAGACCCACCATTTCTTTTCCGCACTTCTTCCCCAGCAGCAACTGCACTTGGGACTTTGATACCACAGCAATCACCCCAATAATCCGTCCCCCCCTTGGAATAATCATGCTTATGACCATGACCATTCCCGAGTCTATCATCCGATGCCTGCCCCGAATCATCCTTCCTCTCCCCCATTCCCGGCACAGCCGGAATCAGCCCGCCAAACATGAAGTGCTGCATAATCGGCAATTTCCCCAGAACCTCCTTGACAAACATCTTCTTCATCCCTGCCTCGACCTTCTGCCAGTTTTTGGCGCCGGAGATATCGTCCAGCATGGGGCTGTGCCAGCGCAGGCCCTTGACAGTTTTAACACTGTCGACCCATCGGACCTGCTCCAGATATATCCAGTCATCCCCTTCTTCGTCCAAGATGGCCTTATTATGGATGCCTAGCGGTGTGATATAAGGGTGGCGGACGAGCTGTGCAGCACCAAACATGAAGGGCAGGAAATGGTAGTCGTCCAGCCCCCACACGCCATGCGAGCCGGCAGGCTCAAGGTAATAGGTCGCCTGGATCCGGCGCAGGAGATACATGTACCGGACGAAGACTCGGAGTACGAGGACTGGGAAGTCGTCGCGCTCGAGGAGGCCGAGCTGGTACAGGCAGAGCAGCCACATGACGAAATTCAACTCGTGGCCGGAGCCGTAATCGAGGCGGTCGCGGGAGCCCAGTGAGTTCACTAGATATTTCGATAGCTCGTCCACTGCTGCGGACATTGTTGCATCATCATCATCACCACCACCATCGTCATGATCATGACCGCCGTCGGTGGTGCTGATTATATCTTGCTGCCAGAGTGGGCTCTGGGCTGCTACGTCATCGAAGAGCGAGCGGAAGGCGGGATTGCCAAATCGGGAGCCATTCTGGTCGAGGGACGGGTTCTTCTCGACAAGGGCTTCTATGGAGGCGAGTACGTTGAGGATTTTAACGATGATGGGGGAGGAGGGTTGCTTTTTGATGGCGGATAAGGGCTTGAACCTAACGCTGTCGGACAGGTTGAAGATAAACGCGAGGATTAAGTTATATGTAGGCGAGGACAAGAACGCTTCATGGTCTCCACTGGATAGTATTCGGGGCACTGGATGTGTGTACTTGATGGAGTCTCGACTTGGCGGTTCGGGTAGCTCAGGAGTCTCAGGCGGGGGTTCTTGGGCTGTTTGGGTGGATCTCTGGCGACCCTTGCCTGCAGGTCTGGAGAGCCTTTTTGAGAGATCTACTATTGAGGCTGCAGGGGAGGCCGTGTGTAACTGCTGTGAGGTCGAAGATGCCATGATAACATTTTGTTGGAGGTTATCATCATAAAGCGTAACAACGTCACAGCGTAGCAGTGTCGTCGCGCAAAATGTATGTCGCAACCAGTTGGTGACTAAGCAGAACCCCCGCCACATGGCTAGATTCGATTGGGACTAGCGTTGCTTGTCGATAACTCAAATTCCTTCATCGAATCCTGGATATGACGGAGGTTGATGAAAGGACGTCACGTGATCGGGGGTCACATGATGATGCTCATCCTGTAAATAGCAATATCGCCACTCAGTGGCCCAACAACCTCCTTTCCCTTCCTCAAGGATTAGAATAGCCATCAATGCCATACAGTACTTGCAGCCAGCCATCTCCCAGAGCTTTCTCCCTGGTATAATACTTCGCATACTAACAGTTGAACGCACGAACGACGCTCGAAATGAGACCCCGGCCGGGGCCTCTGCGGGAGAAAGCCAGGTTAAGTGGCACATGCAGCTCGGTAGCGAATAATAATGTGGCTCCTGGATCAAAGTATTCGAGCATCATTGGAGAATGCTCCCTCTTCCGTCCATTCCCCGCTACCCGCTCTTCTTTTCTAAATCTGTGGTTGACGCGGTGGGAAAGCTGGTATCCCGTAGTTGAAATCTCATAATTACTGCACCAAGCCACATGCTCGCTCATTGTTGCACCACCTTGAACCGAAGTCTGTGTGATGCTCATATCGGGCTGTGGAACCATTGAGCCGTGGATGTCAGCCGAACAGGCGCCCATACGAGTGCCGTCTCCGATGCTCACAGCTCTCTCTCTCTCTGCAGTAAGAACAACAAGTATAGCAGCGATCCCGATGGATGCTCCAAGTCTCTTTCTCGTCTCTCTTCACTAATGTGACGGTGCGGAACGTAGTCTGTAAATGTAACCCACGTAGTTTTCTGGGGTCGTCCTCATCGTAGTGGAACAAGGGCTTCTTCTCCGTCGAAGATGTTTTGTTGCTGGTTTAGATGCTGGGCTTGCATTAGCCGGATGGCCAAGCTTCGTGTTCTCACCAATGAAACTTGTTTCTACGGAGTATGCTTCGATCAATCTGCAGCTCCCAAATCCTCCAAGAGACAAACGCAGTCAAACTATTGGGACAAGAAGTCCCAAGGGAACGGAGGTAAGACTCAAGCATTTCCACTTGGCACCCACAACAGTGGCTGACCTGCGTCCCCCTCTGTTTCTCGAGAGCTCGATCTCCTTTGCTCACCTCTCTCTCATATACCTCCCTTGGCGCATTCTTCGCCTGGGTTATGAAACACTAGGCATCTTCGCTCGCGCGAACAACAATGACTTCCGCAACAAAACGGCAGAGCCAAGAGAGCGCATACGAGAGATCGCTGAGCACCATCTCCGACTCCCTCGCCTCCTCTCGCTCGTCTCATCGTTCCATCCGTCAAGCGGCTTCTGCCGCTACTCCTGCTCCCAACGAGGATACCCCGATCGCTACATCCAATGGCCGGGGGACTGAGAGGAATTACCGATCAACTGAATGTGTAGACGGTGATGGCTGTGCTGGGGGAGATTATCTGCAACATCCTGCGCAACATCAACAGCCGCAACAGAAAGCATCCAGCGACAGACATGACCATGGACTCGATGGGCAAGGGTCAAGCACTGGACAATGGACAGGGGGCATATCTCGCAAGTATAAGCGGATAGTGGAGAAATACGGTAGTGTGGAGCTGGAGAATAAGGGGAGCGTCGCAAGAGATCATTTAGCACTTGGTGAATATCTATATCCTATCCATCCCATCACCTTCTCCCGTCTCGTTGAGCCGCCAGACTCCGGAGCCCGCTCCGTCAAGAATAAAAGAAGAATATCTCTACTAACCAAGTTCCCAAAACCGGCACAGAGCGCACATTCCTCGCCTGGCTCCGCACATCTCTCGCCTTCGCCTCCATCGGCATCGCAGTCACCCAGCTCTTCCGCCTAAACAGCTCCATCACGGAATCAAACGCCCGCCACCTGTTCGACCCGTCGCAAACACAACAACAACAGCAGCAGCAGCAGCAGCAGCAGCAGCAGCAGCAACAAGCCCCATCACCCTTTTCCACAAACAACCTCCTCTCCCCCGAACACCAACGCATTCCCCCCCATCACCTCCCCTCCAGCCTCCTCTCCAACGACCAAATCATAACCACCAACGAGATCCTCCAGCAGATCCAAAGCGGCAATCGCCTCCGCAGCCTCGGCAAGCCGCTCGGCGCCACATTCCTCTGCATCGCCATCGTCGTGCTCCTCATCGGCTTCCACAGATACTTCGAGGGCCAGTATTGGGTGATCCGCGGCAAGTTCCCCGCGAGCAGGGGCAGCGTTGCCGTCGTCGCGTTCATCGCCGGGTCGCTGATGGTGAGCTGTCTTGTGGTCATCCTGACGATATCGCACGGCGCGCTGGAGCGTTGAAGAATCGGCGTGGTGCATTGATGTATGTTTTTGATTTGTCCTTTTTTTTTTTTTTTTTTTTTTTTTTTTCCAAGTTAATTCCGTTATGGATGGATGGATGGATGCAATGGATTCTTTTTTAAAACCGCGCTGTGGGTGTGGATTACCAGATGGAAACTTGGCAGTTGTACTGTATATTATTATCGGGATGGCATTTTGCGGCTACATTAGTTATACCCGTCTGAGCCGCGGATGATATGTG